AACAAAGTATGTTTGTCTCTAAAAATTATCAAGCACAAAAGACCTGAAACTAATTCCTCAGTTGGCCACACACCAGTTATACCTCTTTGCCAAAGTTCTTCACATAAAGACTTAATGAGCCTGGCAAGCAGCTTTTGGAGTCTAGAATAGCAATGTTACTGGCACATTACATACTATTCTGCATACATCTTACACTTTTAGTTTGGCAAGAATTGAAGATTAGGTGCCAACAAATGCAAAAATATTGTTGGAATTTGGTAGGCTAAAACACAGTAGATCAGCAGCACACAGTGCACTTGTAAACTTCCTGCTGACTTGGTCAGTGAGTTGGAGCAGTGATTTCTGGATTATATCAAATTGAGTGAAAAGAATCAAGAGTTTCTGCATGCCTGCCCCATGGACCTCATTAACGTGCCTGAGCGATTGTTCATTTAGCAACAGTGCCCTGAAGTACTGTGAACCTGCTTGGTTCACATGTCGATTTACCAGAATCTGGTACGGGATGGTTATGACTCCCATCTTCCTTTGTCAGGCATTTCACCTTGGAGGCACTTGACCCTTCATGTCAATCCTTCAATGCACAAGTATTCCTAATGAAACATGCAACAAAGAGATCTGTTCTTTTAGTCTGTGAAGCTTTAGCTGGTTAAACACATGTGAAACTGATCTTTACTGTCACAAAGCCTTGCTGCTTCCTCAGATTTAGTTTTGCTTAGTAACACCTTTGCTTACTGGATTAGGTAAGAGGTGTCCCCAGTGAAAGAATCCATGTTCTAATTTGGACCATGGATACATATTGCAAAATTACTTGACTTGAAGATTCATGGAAATGGTTAACAAATTCTGCATGTCAGTTGCCTTCCATCCCAAAAAAAACACTAATGACCCACAGTTGGAATCATCGCGATTGGTCATTTGGATAATTAAAATGAGGACTGAATTAATTGCTTGGTAAACAGTTAATACTAATAGTTCCCCACAGTCTATAAAATGAACAGTATAATTCACCATACACTTTGTGGCTTTATTACTATGCTAGTGCATAGCTGTACACTATCATACAAGCCCATTTCATGCTATCAGTATTTTAGATCCCTAATCAACAGGTCATCACTTGCTGACAATAGACGTAAATCTAACCCTCAGACCTCATTATTAGTGTTCAGCTCTTTGTATTGTACTCATGTTCATTGTTAATTAAAACAGCTCCATTCTCTCCAGTACTGTTATTAGCAGTGAACCTAGCCAGTAGTGGAGAATATTCACAATAACGGGCATATTAGCTCACAATAGTAGCTGGAGTGGCTTTCATATGAAATCACATAGTCAAGACTTTTATTTTCCCCAAAAATATATTTATTCATAAAATGAGTACACGTACATTACAAACAGTTTAAATTTGTGCATTTGGCATGATGAACTGGAACTCACTATCTGAAATGCAACCTCACATAAACTGTAATTTGTAAGACCAAAAGTGGGAAAGTTGGATTAGGCTGGATGACTACTTGTCAGGCTATGCACAAGCTTGAAGTTCCTATGATTTTTATATTTAAAATTATATTTACATTTCACGTCAATCATTTTCAGATGCCTGCAGCTCAAGTTCTTGCCACTCATGGAATGAATGGCATTGGAGTGAAAGGAATCTGTCAGTTAACATTGACTATAGACTGGATGATTAGTCAGGAGGAATCATAAATGTTCAAAAATAATGTAAACATCTCAGGGCCCCTTAATGATCAATGTGGCCGTCCATGTGTGGAACCACAGGAGATGGGTTGGAAACTAAACAAATATTTTGCATCAGTATTTACTGAGGAGAAGAACATGTAACTCGGGAACTTGGGAAATACTGATTTCTTGAAGAGCGTTCATATTACAGAAGAGGTGATGGAGGTTTTAAAACGCATAAAGGTAGGTAAACCCATATGACTTGATCAGGTGTTTCCCAGAACGTTGTGGGAGGCTAGGAAATAGATTGATGGGCCCCATCTTAAGTATTTATATCATTGATAGCCCCAGGCGAGGTGCCAGAAGACTGGACGTTGGCTAATGTGGCACCATTGTTTAAGAAAGGCCGGAAGAAAAGCCCAGGGAACTATAGAGCAGTGAGCCACATGTCAGTGGTGGGTAAATTGTTGGAGGGGATTCTGAGGGAGAGGATTTATATGCATTTGGAAAGGCAAGGGCCGATTATGGATAGTCAGCATAGTTTTGTCTGCAGAAATCATGTCACATTAACTTGATTAAGTTTTTGAAAAGATGCAATGAATAGAGAATGGTTAATAGGTAACAAAATTTCCCTTTGTAATCTTGTAATTAATTGACTCCTTCATTCTGATCCAGTGGGTTATATTTTATTTGAGAAGTGACTGTTGTGTGTTAAAAAGAAATAAAAAATATTTGCTTTGACCAATCAGAGAGGGTTACAAAGGGAGTAACCAGCCACCCTTCTTCACTTGGTCATAACAAACTTTATTTCAAAATATTTAGTTTCTGTTTCCTTTATATCGGTGTCAATCAAAGAAAAAAGAATCAACTGTACACGTGAGATACCCACATGGGTCTGCCTACTGGATGTTGTTTTATTGGGGTGGATCCCCTGCATTCTAAGGTCAAACTGCACCCATTTACTGCAATGAATTTTCTGAACTACATATTAATCGAGTTCTAGCTCTTGTTCCTTCTTTGTCTTCTCTCTTGTCATTTTTCATTCATAGGATGTGGGCATCACTGGCTAGGCCAGCATTTATTATCCATCCCTAATTGTCCAGAGGGTGGTTTTGGATTCAACTACATTGCTGTGGGTTTTGGGTCACCAGATAAGGACAGCAGTTTCCTTCCCAAAATGGTCCTGATGGGTTTTTTGCCCAACAATTGGCAGCAGTTTCATTGTCATCATCAAAGTGTTATTTCCAGTTTTTATTGTATTCAAATTCCACAGTAGGATTTGAATCTGGGACCCTAGAACATCACCTGGTTTCTGGATTAAGAGTCCAGCAAAAATACCACTAAGCCATCACTTCCCCTCTAAGGTCAATGTCTTGACCTGTCAAAACTCTTTTACTTCCCCTATCACCAATATTTTCAATAGTAGCCAGCAAACGCTTTCAAAACATAACATAATGTTGGTGAGGGTGATGGAATGGAGGGTAATGGTGAGGGAAAGAAGTTCCAATATGAATTTAAAAAGTTGAAGGAGAATGAAAATCTGTGTGAGGATCAGAATCACATCTCTATGAATTGGATTTGATGAGATAAACCCCCGGTGTGCAGTGAGATAGGTTGGAGATGGAGAAATATTCAATCTTGGTCTGTTTCTGGTGTTGTACCTTGAATAAATAGTAATTTGGGTTGGTCTTAAAAAAAACATTTTTTTCCCCCAAAGATGGATCAATTGAAAACATTATATTTGCTTGGAATGAATTAAAATCATCATTTTTAATAGAAAAAAAATTTGTTCTCAGGTATCATGTCACTAAACTACCCTAGAAATGTACCAATAATAATATTGCTTCCTCTTTCAGTTTTTCATATAGTTGTGCTTTTCTCCCTCAAAACGAAGTAATAATTCTTACACAAACAGCCTGTTACAAGCTCATATAGCCTAGATTTGTCAACACAGCTCAGACATTGTTCTGAAGGTTTCATCCTTGTCTCTAGTATCTTAACCGATCAACAACTTGTTACCTCCCCTACCTCCAATATTTTTATAACTTGCAAACGTTTTCAAAGAAAATGTAAAAGCTTAGGTTTTTAAGTGTTTCCTTGATTTACCCCAAGGGAGGTTTGCACAGTAGTTTTAATTTCTGGAAATGACAGTACAATCCTGGAGTGTATTTGGCTGAGATTTTGCTGTAATTCCATGGTGGAATTAAGCAGCCGCTTGCCTCTATTCCGGTTTGACAGAATCTGGCAAAGACTGATAAAGTCCAATGTGCGATCTAATAGTGGAGTGAAATAAGACACACTGTACAATATTTTTACCAATTAGAAATGCATAGCTTCAGCATCTGTTGCCTACCTCTATGGAGCCTGGTCTTAGGAGGTACTAAGTGCCAAATATATTCTCAAAATCAGATTTCTAACAGAAGGGAAGATGGCTGTGCTCCAAACCTCTGAAAAGTGTTGAAAAATCTGTGCAGACAAACTCGAGGGTGAGTGGGCACAGTGGTTAGCACTGCTGCCTCACAAAGCTAGGGTCCTGGATTTGCTTCCTGCCTTGTGTGACTGTGTGGAGTTTGTAAATTCTCCCCTTCTCTGCATGGATTTCTGCCAGATACTCCAGTTTCCACCCACAGTCCAAAGACGTGTAGGTAGGCCATGGTAAATTCCCTTTTAGTGTATAGGGATGTGAACTAATTAGCAACTGAAAATACAGGGATAGTGTGGGAGGCTAGGTTTGGGCGAGATGCTCTTCGGAAGGTTGGTGCTGACTCGATGGGCCCAATGACTTCTTCCCGCACTGTAGCGATTCTATGAAGGGTACATGAAAGTTATCCGGTGAGTTTATATATACACATTTTTAACATTGAAACCGAATATATTTATGCTATTTTTCAAACATTTGTAAATATTCTGAAGAGGGGTCCCAACCCAAAACGTCAGCTTTCCTACTCCTCTGATGCTGCCTAAAAAGACAGTACATGCTGAAGGCCTGATATGAAAGAAGGGGGGAGAAAAAAACAAACTGCTGCAAGAACTCTATGGCTCCAACTCTGTCAGCACTTGCAGAGAAGGATGCAGAGTCAACGTTTCAGACCGAATACGACTTTTCCTGGGAACTCTTTACGAGGTAACATTGTTTAAGTGGACGAAACAACGGAGTCTTCAACGAAACCTCACCTAATCCCCTCGTCTCCAGCCACCAAACAAACCCCGCTTCCATTTCTCCTGCTGTCCGGTAATTTACTTCAACTCTCCATCCCGCCATGGCCGGCTCACTACAATGCGCACGCGCGGCTGCGGCGGAGTCCTCCAGCAGACCGTGATGCTTCACGGGGACGGTGCAATTCCGCCATGTTGTGAGAAATCTACTTACTCTCTCGAGACCAAGGGAGAGACAGAAAAAAAACGGAATATTTCAGTTGGGTTTCTGTGTTTTTGTTGTCCCTCTTTCATCTCGTTTCCCGGACAAGTGAAGCGAAGTGAATCCAGGTTAATGCAACCCTGACTTAATACAACCGCTGCACGATGGCCTGCAACGCGCAAGGTAATTTCTCAATCGCGGGTTCACGTAGTGAAAACAAGGCACTGAATTATAAACGAATCAGAGATAGTTTGCGTTAGGCTCTCCGTGCTGCCGAGGCCCCAAGCTCAGCTTGGGAGAAAGGAGAAGGACCTGATCTGGGCCCGTCTCTGTCCCGGGGCAGAGTAAACCCAGGATGGTTTGACTGGTTCGGTGCTGGAGGCTGGTATGGGTTAGGCGTGAATGTATCTACTCCCGCCGCTTATAGAAGGAGGGTGGCCTGCAGTTGGATCTCATCAGCCACAACCTCCATTGCTGGACCGATGCTTTCCTTCTCCTTCCCAGTTTACAGCCATGACCAAATATTTGTTTTGGGGTGGGGGTGGGGAGGTTGGCGTGTTTGGAGAGGACAGACCCAACGATTATAAAAATGTTAGGTCTTGTTGACTCATCACTTTAAAAAAATGGTTTCCATTGCTTTCTTGCATTGAGACAGATAGACAAAAGAGTTGACCAATATACGTATTTGAAAACCATTATATTAACCGTTTTGTATCAAAAGCATGAGCATTTTGCTTTGGTATTCTATTTATCATTGCTACTTGATTAACCCGATTTTTTTTTCTATTTTTCCAGTCATAATATTGGCTGGCACACTTATTTTTTATAATATTAGATGTTTATAAAATACAGCAGATCTTTTATTTCCAACATTTTCTGTCTTCATTTCAAATTTTCTTCTACGTTGCTGATATGTCATTCTGGAGCACAACTTTGATGTTTAGGCCCAAAATTGATCTGTGTCTATGGCCACAACTTGACATAGACAAATCTATATAGATATAGAATGATTTAGTCTTGGCAGGTATCAGTAGTACTTGTGTTTAACATCAGTGCTGCAGATAGTCTTTACATTTTTAACAAGTTCTGATTATTGGACCCAAGGGCCTACATAATGGTTTTTTTGTTAATTTTAGTTTGTATGAAGCATTGAGCCATGGCACAAAATTTATACTTTATGGCTGGCAGCACCAAATAAGTGATAAGGTGGAAAAATGTTCTGTGGAATGCATGAGTTGGATGTCTTAACAAGTGGCAGCAGTCCAATATTCTTTGACTTAAATTGTCAATAAATACTAACAGCTCTACATGTGTACGTTTTCAGGGACATATTATATACTTTTGGTGGTAAATCGTAAAACATTTCAATGAAGTAATTAGTTGTTTAGTTAAGAATTTTGGTTTTATCTGTTGCAAAGCCTTTCTCCAACCGATCCCAACGAGTTATTGGTGTAGGAAAATTTATGAATAAAAGTAAATGTCTACCTACACATTTCCATGTAGGTAATGCAAAACGAACAGAAATCATGTAAAAGCACTGCTCTTCGGCTTTAGTAGGAGGGGGATGGAATTTTGTTTGTTAATGTCTCTAAGATGTTCTCCAACTCTGACAAAAAAAAGAGAACCTCTGACCTCACACAACAGAATAGAATTTACAGAACTTTAGTTGTCTGGTGTATCATATCCGTAGTTTTCTGGGTTTTGAAGTATTGCTACATTTTAAAAGTTCAATATTAATGGCGATCTGTAGGTCAACTGAATATTTTGCTTTTTAACTGTAATTTTCCTAATTTTTCTCCCGCTCCTGTTCAAATTCATTGCATTATGCAAAACATAGAAATTTAAGCATTAAAAGTAATTATCCAGTATTATCTGTAGGATGTACTGGGTCATATGTTGTCCAGTGAAGACAGGCTGTAAAATGTAAAAATGGATACGGTGGATGCAAAATAAAGAAATAATAAGCAGCAAGTTGAGCATGATTGATTTATTTATGACAGTTATTCATTATGGACTGATAGTCACAGGAAGACTATACTTTGTACATTTGCTTGACTTTAACTGCTACTTCACTTATGAGGAAGTTGTATTCTGAACTTTTGACCCCAGGGAATTTAGAATTGGAGCCTTCAAGTCAGGTTGATATTGGATTTTGAATTTAAATTGCAACTTGGAATATTAATGTTGATATTTTAAAATAGTTGGTCTCTACTTTTATGCAGCTTGTGTTTATTGGGTACGCAAGAATTGCATCAGAGTTGGTGATAAGGTTTTATCAATCTCGTTGCATTTCTTAAAATGTATGGTTTTGTGCCTCACACTCATTTTGTACTGCTTTCATTTAAGGTAGACATATATCATAGAATGGTCACAGCTCGAAAGAAAGCTGTTTGGCCTGTTGCTTTTGTGCCAGTTCTCTGCAAAAAGATCTCACCTTGTCCCTTCCCCTGCCTTCCTCCCGTAGCCATGCACACCTTTCTGTTCAAATAATAATGAAATTCTCTCTTGAAAGCCGCAGCCCAGTTGCAATGTTAAAGTTTTTCAACTTGGGTTGCTGTTTAATGCTTCTCGATCGCAAGTTACTTGAGCATGATTTGTCCTGAGCAGATCAGTTCTGTCTTTCCTTAATTAATTCACTTATCCTACAATTCTTCTAACTTTTGGCATCTGTAACACATGATGTCCGGATTTGCCCACGGTCTGACGAATTATTACAATGGTAGTGCCACACTACATGATATCACTCTTCATTGCAGAAATGAGAATTTTTCTAACATGCTTACTTGAGGTTGGTAAAATCATCACTCGTAAATGAATACAGATGCATACACGTTAATTATGAATTGGTTTGACTTGCTGTCACGTTTCATTTCACTTTGAATTTTAGATATTACATTAAGTGGACATCAGTCGGACTAATTGCTAGTGTAAACAGCAAAAATGAGGCCTTCAAATCGGCTGATATTTGTACAGCATGTGAACGTGTGGTTTCTTTGCGAGAGATAGATGTTATTTTCGATGATTATATTTGCAAGTAATATGCTAACGCTAGTAATTTCCCATCTTGACTGCAGAAAGTAACCTAAAGTTAATACAATTAAGTTGAAAACTTTGCAGTCTCGTGTGTTGGTTGAGCTGGTATTTCTGGAGAATGGCTTGTGTTGGTTAATTAAATCTTTCTTGCTTTTGTAGAAGATGAATTTGACCAGCTTGATAAACCTGGTGCTGAGAGATCTCGGAGAAGACGAGCAACCAATGAAGAGTGGGACAGGTAGCTCTGGAATTTCACTATTACATGCCATTTTCAAAGTTCTCAATTAGGCTTTCCTTTTAAGCAGTTGGTTATCAAGTGCTTCAGAGGATCAACTTGTTGAAACAAAAAGACCGTGAAGAACATTCCATTTAATTGAATGCTAAGATGTATTTTCAAACAAAATGCCCAAGTCGATTGCTTTGCATTATGCTCATTCAGTAAGGCTGTCAACTTGTGGGGAATTCCACCTGCTTTTCCAATTACCATGCATTTGATTTTTAGTCTGTTGGGATTGGCTTGCAACATAAAATAGTATTTTCTCCAGAACTCTGGGATCATTCTCATGGAACAATGATTGCAGATAGAGCACCATTCTTTGCAGTAATTGATATGAGTACAGAGGAATATTTAGGCATTACTTGCTTTAGTTTGCAGAAGCTGCTTAAGTATGGTGATTATTTATTTGCAAGGCCTTGTGAATCAACTGTCAGGCCCTTGTAAAGATCCTTTTGGACTAATGGCATGCTGAACATAGATTTATCATTGCATCAATTCGACAATGTTATGAGTAGATCTCAAGTAAAATTTTCAAGACACTTTGTTTCTGACAGTTCTTGTCTGTTGCTTTTAATTAACGCATTGCTGTTTCATGCATAAGCATCCATCTTCAGCTATTTTGATGTCTGCTGCGCATCTGTGGAAGCCATTGACCTTGTTGGCTGCTGTAGAGTATATCATGCTGGGAATTTTACGCTGACTTCTTCCCAGAATCCTTGATTAATAATAGCTTCTGTAAGGTAGATTGCCTCAGTCTGTTTGCGAACAACGTAAGGCTGTTAGCCTAGGCACACCAATAACTGTTGTCTTCATAGAATGCATACAGTGCAAAAAGAGGCCAAGTTTGCACTTGAAAGAGCATCCCACTCAGTTCAAGCTCCACACCTTATCCCAAAGCCCCGCATTTACCACAGTTAATGCCTTTAGTGTACCTGGACACGGTGAGGCAACTTAACATGACCAATCTAACCTGTACAGTTTGTGGAAGGAAACTGGAGCACCTGTCTGAAACCCATGCAGACACTGGGAGAATGTGTAGGCTGCAGACAGAAAGTCACCCAAGGCTGGAATTGGAAGTCGAGTTCTTGATGCTGTGAGGCAGCAGTCCTAATCACTTAGCCACTGTGCCACCTGTTCATAAAGCAGATTTCCCTCATGACATTCTTGGTGGGGGGAGATAATATCGAAGTCCAAATCAACCAGTCCTGTTGTAAATCGCGTGATATTTTCGAGTATTTGCAGAGGCAGTCTATTTCAGCTTATTCCCCTTTCTGTTGATGGTAGTAATACTTCAGTTCTGATAGAATGTCACCGGACTCAAAATGTTAACTCTGCTTCCTCCCCACAGATGCTGCCAGCAATTTCTGTTTTTGTTGGGAGTTTTGTAACCCCTCTTAATCAGTTTTAAATAAAATCAACTAAAACAACAAAGTTGCCAAAACTATTTAAAAGAGTTGGTGATAGTGACATTTACTCCTTCAACTCGTATTGATGTTAAATGCATTGTTATTGAATGCAAATTTAGTCTCGGGTTTCATCAGCTATATTAATTTGTTATTAATGCTATGGTTTCTCACTGCAGTGTGACACTGTCGTTTTTAATAAACTCTTGTTAATGAAAATTCTTCATCAGTGAATGATCTCCTTTTATGTTGAAGACTAAAATCTGAGTATATGAAGGTGGATAATTCATAAATGATGCTACAGTTTGTTATCTAAGTTGTTTTGGAAAAACTGAATGAAGCACCACCTTGTGTAGGTTCATTATTTCATTTACACTATGGCAGGAGATATGGATGGTTACAAAATTAATCTCAATATGTATAAGTGATTTGAGATTTATGTTATAATATATCCTAATTTTCCGTTGATGTTGAGGTAACCATTAAATTACCAGTTTTATATCCTTTGTGTACAGATTCAGCTTCGGTCAAAGTAATCTTAAATATATTATCCCTGACAGCAGGCATAGAAGTCAGACCTCTGCAAACTCTAAAAGTGAGCTCCTATACATAAACAGCAACTAATCTTAGTTATACTTAGGTATAATGTGACTTGGTTATAAAGTTCTTCTATGTGAAACGACTTAAAGATTATGATAATTTTGTTTGTGTGGTCAAGAAAAAAGTGAAATGTAAAAACAACTTACAGGTTATCATTTACTGCTAATAAATTGAAGTTTACACTAAAAGTGAAAAGCTTCTTATTTAACTTTTAAATGAGGCAAAGGGAAAGCATTTACAAAACAAATGTAAAAGTTGTCCATGGACTATTCTCATGCTTTAGGAATAATTACAAAGTGTTTACGAGAACAATGCACAACAGGATCCTTATCTCCTAAATTGAGCTTTCAGAAGAAAGTGATGATGGAGTAAAGTAGTAATTATATAATCCTGCTTGAATAAATCAAAAAACAAGTTCAGAAACTTAAAGAATGGAATACAAAAATGGCATCAAATTCAAATTTCCACAGAGCTTTTTAAGGTATAGAGCTCATTAGCTGTGTTGCTGTTTCTGTTTTCAGTGTCTGTAATAATTCCTCATGTTGGAAAAATTTGATAGTGTGACCTCGCCACGTCCTGCAGTGTGTTACTGACAATGAAGCAATTTTTAGAAGTGTAGCCATTGGTAGAATCATAACGGCAGTTCAATAAGGTGGTTGACCACCACCTTTCCTCTGACAATTAGATACAAACTGTAAATGCTGAGTTTGTCAGCAATGCCCTTGTCTCATAATAAAATATATAAGAAACACATTGTATTTCCTTGTGAAGTTTGTGTCCTTTGAAAGAAGTTGAGACTCTACAGTGTGTGCATTTTGCTCATTGTTGTCGATGTGCCTGCTTGTCTTGAGTTAAGTGTTATTAAATCACAGCAGACTTCAGTGTAAAAGTAAGCATTGCCACAAAGATACATGAATTCAAAGCTTTTCATCTCGCAGTTAGCAAGATTGCAAAATAAGGAAAACAACTTAAAAAGGGTAAGACTTGGTCAGTATGAAGATGTAACATGGCTTATTAACTGTTAAATGAAATTCAAGGGAGGTGTGTTTACTCAGGTTAGAGCATTGCTATGGAGATGCAGAAGCAATGGGTCCTTTCATTGTCCTTTCTTCACTGAAATAAAAGCATTGTGTGGGCATGTTTCTTCTCCTGGTAGGGGAAGGTGCTCCATTTGAGCAAAGGTGAAATGAGCCACTCCTTTTTTAAATTCTTTTACAGGATATGGACTGGCATTAATTGCTATCCCCAGTTGCCCTTGGGAAGGTAGTGGTTAGCTGTCGTCTCGAACTGCTGCAGTCCATTTGCTGCACATAAACCCACAATGCTGTAAGGCAGGGAATTCCAGGATTTTGACCCAGTGACCCTGAAGGAACAGCGTTATATTTCCCGGTTAGAATCGTGACTGGTTTGGAGGGGAACTTTGTAGGTGTTCACATATATCTGCTGCCTTTCCAGATGGAAGTGGTTATGGGTTTGGAAGGTGATGACATGCGGTATAATGGGGATAAATATTGGGTTATCCACTTTGGTCGCAAAAGTAGGAAGGCAGATTATTATTTGGCTGTAAGTTGTGTGGAAAAGATTCAACAAGGTCTGGATGTCCTCCTGCACCAGTCGTTGAAAGTAAGTTTGCAAGTGCAGCAGGCAGTAAAGAAGGCAAACTGAAGGTTGGCATTCGTAGCTAGAAGATTTGGGTACAGGATCAAGGATGGTCTCATTATCTGAGGAACAATTTTTTTTCAGTATAGAGGGAGTGGTGCGAAGGTTTACCACATTGATTCCTGGGCTGGCAGCACTGACAACAGAGGAGAAATTGAGTTGGTTAGGATTGATTCACCAAAGTTTAGAAGACTGAGTGGGGTTCTCATAGAAATGTATAAAACTCTAACAGGACTAGACCAGTTAGATGCAGGAAGGATGTTCCCAAAGTTGGGGTGTCCAGAACTAGGGATCATAGTCTAATGATAAGGGGAAATCGTATTAGAATACAATTGAAGAGAAATTTCTTCATCCAGAGAGTGGTGAGCCTTTGGAATTCACTACTCCAGAAAGTGATTCAGGCCAAAACATTGTGATTTCAAAGAGGAGGTAGATTTAGTCTTTGTGGCTCAAGGGATCAAGAACTACTGAGAGGAGAGCGGGGTTAAGGTTTTGAGCTCAATCAATCATGATCATAATGAATGGCAGAGCTGCCTTTAGGGTTTGAATTGCTGACTCCTTCTTCTGTTTTCTCTGTTACTTTGCACTGGCTAAGAATCCTTGGTGTATTTCTGTAGTGCACCTTGTAGGTGGTACACACTGCTGCTGAATTTCAGTAGTGGAGAGAGTGTAAGTTTGTGGATGTGGTGCTATTCAAATGGATGGCTTTGTTCTGGATGTTGTCACACTTCTTGAGTGTTGTTGGAACTGCGCTCATCCAGGCAAATGGATCATCCAGTTCCATTATACCCCTGATTTCTGCCTTATAAATGGTAGATAGGCTTTGGGGAGTGAAGATGTAATTAGTCACTGCAGGACTCCTCGCCTCTGACCTGCTTTTGTAGCTTCTGGTCAGTTGTAGCCTCAGGATGATAGTGGCTATTCACTGGTGATGATTAGCTCCTCCCTTATGTTCTTAATTTTTGTGCCTTTTAAAACTGAAATAAAATTCTGGTTGGGATTTACAGCGATGGCTGCATGTTTAGCAAGTGAGGACTTTGATACATATTGCGAACTCTAGCTGTGGGTTCCAGCAGTGTGCAAATGAACTGGAGCCTCGAAGTTGTTTACAAATGAAGCTGGTTGGTTCTCTCCTGCCTGCCAACAACAAGGTGATTAGTTGTTAGGTGGATGAACAGCTTGGGCTGCGCACAAAGCAGAGAAGCTAGTGGAAACCACTGGGTGTGCTGCAGCCAGAAACACACTCCGTTCTCTGCACTAAGACACTTTAAATCAGACGAAAACTAGCTTATCTTTCCT